AGTTTTGTGCTCAAAGTCTTGACCTCAAGGGTCTCTCCTTGGACTTATATAACATCATTTCAAATCGTATAGAATGTGCTAACATAAAGATAGTCTTTAATGGTATTCCAGCAGATCCGGTTTCCCCTTAGAGGGTGCTAACATGAAGATGGCTCTCTGTATGGTTTTAAGTTGGGTTTTGCTGGATGTAAATTGAATCATCTCTTTTTTGCAGACATGTTAATCTTTGGAAGAGCTTTAAGGGGTGTTCTTTTTCTGGATTTTGAGATGGGGTAAGTTGGTTAATGAGATTTTGGTTTTCCATTGACCAAGAATCTCATGTTCATTTTTCAGATTTATGTGGAAATCAGGGAAAGTTTATTTTTCTAGTTACCCGGATAACTTTCCCACCTAGGGGGAAAGTTGCTAACACTTGAATGGGACAAACATGCCCCTTTTAATAATGAATTTTTCTGGCTAAAATGGTCATTATCTTATTTACCTAGGAAATAAAAAAACATGAGTAAATGCATTTACCCGGGTAAGTGTTTCCCAGGAAAAACTTATCCAAGTAATTGCTTTACCTGGGTAAACAACTTATTGAAAAGTGAACGGGGCCTTAATCCAAGAGCTTTCAAAGGTAAAAGATTGTTTGGATTCATTTTTTAATTGGTCAAGACAAGGCATCAACATCAACAAATCCTCTATTTATTTCAGTCCTAATGTTGATAGAAGAGGACGCCAGTTCCTTGCTTCCATTCTTGGAGTGAAGGAGCAGAAAAATGGTGATAAGTATTTGGACTCGTTCTATGATATCCAAAGATCCAACAACGCAAATTGGAAGTTGGTTTTTAGAGAAAATAACCAACAAGTTTCAAGGGTATCCAAACTCCTCTCTCAAGCAAGGAGTGTGATGCTAAAAAAAAATGGTGGAGCCAATTTCGAATTAATTGTTGGCAACCTCTCTCATCACAAAAGATTATGTTCATCATAAAGATGGTGTTTGGAAGCGTAGGTGTTTTTTGGACCGATTTTCAAAAAAAGAAAACGCCCATGCTTGCTAGACCCGTTTTCATAAAAAAAAAACGCCTTGATATGTTTGGGAGTGCTTCTGCCACATAGGCAGTGAGCAACACTATACTGTTTGATAAGGTGATTTTCATCACTATTTTTCATGTATGTGCTGACTGGTAAGGGCCACATAGGATACACATAATTGCCTATCAGTCAATCGTTGGGGGCAATGGTTCACCGAAGCATGAAACGCCAAATTCGACGTTCCATGCAACGGTTGGGTCCCAATTTATGAGGCGTGGTCGTTTTTCAGTGTTTTTTCAAAAAACACTTGAACCAAACAGTCATGTATGTGGGCATTTGTGGAATCACCTACGTGGATCCAACGTGTCACTGTTTTTCAGAAAAACGGCCACGCTTCTAAACACCCCCAAAATCAATTCTTTATGTAGAGATTTGTAGTGAGGGTGTCTAGACAAAGATAGGTTATCTTACTTGAAGAGTTGGTATTTTATTACAAGAGGTAAAGATGGAGGTGGGCTGGGCCTAAGAGACATTTCTATCTCAAATATGCAGAGATTTGGATATTCCTATCTGCACCTGAAAGTTTTGGGGCGTTAATTCTCAAGTCCAAGTATATGGGCCATGATTCTATGCTCTAGACATTAAAAAAGAGTAGTAAATCTTCAGCCACTTGGTCCTCTATGCTACACTTTCGTCAATTTGTGAAAGAAGGACTTCAGTGGAAGTATTCCTCCTATTAAATCAACCTTAGCAAGAAGAAACAACAACATTGATATTGATCTGGCATGTGGCATTTGTCTCAAGAGTGAGGAATTAATCGATCATCTATTACTTCACTGTGAGGTTACTAAATGAATGGTTCCCCGTTGGGTTGGGGCTTCGTATAGAGGTGCACAGTGATTGGAACATTTCCGATTGACTTATTGGGCTGGTATTGATGATCGAGTCCGGCTTCAGTCGGAGCAAAGCCAATTCCAACAGTTTTTACATCTTGCGTTGGAAATATCTCTGTAATTACTTGATTTATTTCATGCGAGATATTCTCAATGCTACATTGCAAGGGGCTGCTCAAAGGGTATACTTGCTCTGATAGAAGCTGAACTTTTTATGATCCCTTGGCTTTAGAGTACTCCTTGTCGACATTGGTTAAATATGTCCTTATTTTAGAAGGCTAGGTGTCATTTAGTTAAGTTATGGAGGGCGTCAGATTTGATCCTCATCGAATTATCAATGAAAGAAGCAGCTTCTTACCTAAAAGCTCTTGAAAATAGGAAAGATGTGAAATGCGTCCTCTATCTTTGTTCCTCCTAGACTTGAAACAAACTGTTGGGTTAGGCCCCCACCCCCGCCCCCGCCCCCGGTGGGATCGTTGAAACTAAACTTTGGTGCTTTCTAAATGGAATCTAGAGATCACAATGGTTCTATGATATATGCTCGTTCCTTGAACATTGATGCAAGATCAGATGCGGAGGGTGAGGCTTTGGCTTTATTTGATGCCTTGAATTTTATTATTATGTTTTCAGTTGGATGAGGTTCAGATGTAGGGAGATGCTTTAGAAATTATTAATTATCTGTTGGAGAACACTTTTCCTCCGAGTATCTAAGCTCGCACACATCCTAACTCGTCATGGAACTAATCTTGATCATATGCATACCTAGC